TTCTCACCCGGTCTAATTTAGTGAAGACACTCCCCTTAGCCAGATGGGTTAATAAGTCCTTTAGGAGGGGGAGGGAGTATTTATTTTCCACACTCACAGCGTTGAGACCCTTATAGTCTACGCAGAGACGAAGAGACTCATCTTTTTTCTCTTTGAACAACACAGGGGCTCCCATGGTAGATTTGGCCCGTTTGATGAACCCCCTCGCTAGGTTTTTGTTCACGTATCGCTGCATCTCCTCCATTTCGAGGGGGACATAGCATACATTCTCGGGCGTGGGAGTTTGGCTCCTGGCACCTGTTCGATAGAGCAGTCATTGGGTCTGTGAGGGGGCAGGGCATCACATTCTTTTTCACTAAATGCCTCCGGCAGGTCCCGGTATTCATTGGGGATGAGTGGTTTGCCTGGCGGCGGTGAGGCAGCCATGTGCGCTCGCTCATTGGGTGGCCTAAGGTGTCCTGCAAAATCGGTTGAATCAGCGGGAGGTTTAGGCCCTATAGGTAGTCTCACAGTTCTCATTCCTTTCTCCCACCAGATAAATGGCTTCCATTTGTCCAACCAGGCTAGTCCTAGGATCACAGTCTCAGTCATTTTTGGAGCCACTAGGAAGCGAATGAACTCCCAGTGCACACCTATTTCTAGGTGTAAGGGCTCAGTTAATTGTGTGACAAGAGTCCCTCCCATCAGGGAGCCATCAGCTTGCTCAAACCTCACAGGTTTGGAAAGCTGTTTTGCCCGTATGCCCATTTTCATGGCAAACAGCAGACTAATAATGCAGCGGGTGCATCCAGAATCAATTAGCACATTTAAGTCCATTTGTGCCCCAGACTTAGGGATTATAAGTTTGGCGGCCAGTGAAAAAGGCAGGATTTGTCGACTCACCATCGGGTCATTCTCTCCTTCATCGTCGCTATCAAAGGAGGGTAGAGCAGGGGCGGGTCCACCCGGAGTCCCGGAGTCCTCCTGTGTGTGGGGTGTAATCTGGGCAACAGGTTCTTGCATGACCCGGTTGGATTTTTCTCTCGTTAGCCAGTGGGCAGGTTTCCTTCTTGTCGCTGGTTCTGGTCTGCTCTGCAGTCGGGGGTAGGGGACTGGACAGGTTGCTGCTCGATGTCCCTCTTGTCCACACCGAAAACACTTAATTGACAGGCCTGCAGGTGGCCTGGGTCTCTCAGCCATCGCAGTAGTTGGAGGTTTTCGTAGGGGTGATTGCTGTCCGGGTTGCTCTGGCGGCTGCTCGGATTCAGGTGGGGGAGGCTTCTTATAGTGGGCAAGCTGAACATCTAGCTTCACCACTGCCTGGTACCATTCTTGCAGCTGATCAGGTACTGCTCAATAGATGCAGGCCTGAGAGAGGTGATCGTCTAATCCCTCGATGAAGTGATGGATTAGGGATCGTTCAGGCCACCCCTCTATTCGACCTGCTATTTTGTGAAATTCCCGCACGTACTCCAGGGCAGGCCTGCCGGCTTGTTTTATTATGTGGATTTGTTCTCTTGCTTTAAGACCAATAGATGGGTCCTCAAATCTTTCTCTCAGCCCTAGGAGGAAGAGGTGGGGGTCGTCCAATTCGGGGGCTTGCTCATTATATAAATTGTTCAGCCATTCGGATGCTTCTCCCTCTAGGCTGGACGCAATCACATCCACCATGGCCCCCGGATCTGGGTAGAGATAGGCCCAGCAATTCAAATGAGAACACACTTGGTTGAGGAAAAAAACCAGCTTCTCTGGGTCCCCATCGAAGGTTGCTCTAAAAAGTGGTGCAATTATAGGCTGTTGGGGGCCCCACGGTGGCTGTTGCTGCTGGCCCCATCCTGGCTGCAGATTTATGCCCAGGGGTTGCACGTTTGGGGCTGTGGCCAATCTCCTTGCTGCTGGCCCCATCCTGGCTGCAGATTTATGCCCAGGGGTTGCACGTTTGGGGGCTGTGGCCAATCTCCTTGCTGTGGTCGTTCTTCCACCACCTTGTTCTGTACCACCCCAAGCTGTTGCAAGGCCTCTATTAGCTGTGGCAAGTTCAGAGGTCGTGGACCATCTACCTGCTGGGTTTGCCAATCTCCCCATTGCTGCAGAGGCCTGAGACTGGGATTCCCTCTCTCTTCAGGGCTGGAGTCCCTGGCAGGGGAAGACAGGATCTGAAAGGCTTTCTGATCTGCAATGGAAGGGCTGTAGGCTCCTCTCTGCAGGAATTGATTTCTGCTTTTCACCTCTGGGTTTTGAAATCTTTCCAGTGACTCACCCAAGGCTTGAGTGGCAGGCGATTCGTTAGCTGTCCACCATTGTGCTTTTGAAGTCTCTGCTTCCAGCTGGGAGATCTGCCGGAGTTCTCCCTCCCCCGGCTTGCCAGCTGTTGCTCCCCCCTCTGGGGAAGCTGTTGCTGCCGGGGTGCTGGCTTCAGGCAATCTTTCTTCTTCCATAATGAGATCTTCCCCAAATCTTTGTCAGCCTATCCCTTTAGTTTAGGAATAGTGACCGGGGCCCGGGACCCCTTAAATGGTTTAAAAAATTTGTGGATCTTGGCATGTTGTCAAGGTTCCGACTAATGAGACACTTCAAAAAACTTCCAGGCATTGTTTATACTAAAAGCCTTTATTAACAGTGTAACAGATTGTCGGCACATCATGGATGGTTGCCAAGATCTGAAGTCTCCACCCCAGAGCAGTTATTTTTGCTAGCATTTTCCCTCCCTCTTTTGCTGTCATAAGTCACGTTCTCCAACCAGCCTGGGGGGCAAAGGTTCACTTCCTTCTGAAGCCCGCGCAAATTGCTCTCTCTCTACATTCTTTCTCCCCCCCTCCCATTCTCATCGGAGTTAACTCTAAAAGTGCCAGACAGTTCTGCATATTTTGCAAAGCAAGAATATTCAATATTAGCAGCGTTGACATAATTATTCCCATGGCGATCAAGGTGGGACCAGAGCTGGTTCAGGAAAAATGCCAACTTCTCAGGGCTTCCATCGAATGTTACTCTCAATGGGGGTATCCAAGGTGGTCGGGGGAGCAGTGCTGGCTGAGGAGCTTGTAATCCCCCTCTATCGACCCGTTGCCACCCCTCTTGAGCCCCAGGTTGGGGTCTTGGTTGTGGCTGCCCCCCCCCCAACATCTTGAGATAAGGGTCTGCCACTGGCTGTTGCAGTTGCCAGCCAATTTCCCCCAGTTGGGGAACAGAAGCCTCTAGCATGCTGTAGAGTGGTCAATTCGGGCTGAGGCTCATCAGCGGGGTCAATCCGGTGGGCTGATCCACTCCTGTCATCGTTGCAGCCATAGTGCCCATTGGGTACTAGGGCGTGAGTACCGGTGCCGAAGTCAGGCTAGGAGACATCCCCACTTGTGGTCTTAAGTCTGGCTGAACAGTCAGCTCTCCTCCCCTGATGTCTAGTCCGCTGAACTTCTTCCTCAATTGCTCCATCGACTGACTGCCACACCGGGGCAAGTATTGATCCACCTGCCCCATCATCTCGGCAGCCCTCGGCTTTCATCAGTCCACTCCTCCTTCCTACTCAGGTTGAGGGCGATGCGACTGGAATTCAGCTTCCATGGCTCTCCACACCTCCTCCCTCCATTTCAGGCTGGTTGAATGCAGTCGCTCCCTCCGTCCATTCCAAGGTCAACTCCTTCCGTTCAACCCATTCCTTGGGTCAAGTTGCAGGAGGAGGGGTCACGGCACCCCCATCACTCCAGCAGGGGTCCCCCCGGCGAAATAGCTGCAGGTGGGGTCCTCCCAGCTGATCCCAACTTCCCTGGGGTTCCGCTGGCTGATCCCGAATGTGATCCAGACATCTTCTCCTGGGTCTTCACCACCCCTCCAATAACTATTGGAGAGGGGCAGAGGCTCAGGACCCCTTTGTACTTTATTAGTTTAAGAGAGCCAGCTTAGTGTCAACCTCTGCCTGAAATCCCCACCAAGAAACATGTTCTGTCCCCCGTCCGACTCACACCCCCCAACCAGTCAGCTGAGGGTTAAAAGACTGCTCAGCACTGCCAAAAACACAGATAAACACTTGGCAGCAACTCCGTGGCACGGACGGTTCTGGAAATGACTATTGAGTGTCATGTTTATGTTTAGTTTCAGGTCCTATTAAGGCTTCACGATGTTGTCTTCTAAGTCATAACAAGCAGTGTTCTCAACGTTTGCCGTGTGGGGAACGAATATAAGCCTGTGGGGTGTGGCCCAGTGACTCAGCTGAAATCTCTGGCACGACGTTTTAGCTGCTGCGCATGTTTGTCCCTCCGACGCTGGCGTGGATCCAGCCAAGACGTATCCTCCTCAGAGTCCGACACACCTGGCTCCTGGCCAATCCCAGAAGCACCTGGCTCCTGGCTGATCCCAGAAACACCTGGCTCCTGGCCAATCTCCTCTCCGTCGGAAGACACCGAAGGCCGCACCAGAGGGGAAGGTCCTGGAGAGGCAGGCCTGGCCATCTCCTCTCCTTCATGTTCAGAGCCTTCCTCCTCCGATGATAGGGACCCACAGGACAGAGCCACAACAAAACACACCGGAGTCAAAGTGTCCTGTAATGTTATCTTTAATGGGTTGAATCATAGTGGCAAGTTAGAAAGCGAAAGCTGGCTCTAACGAAAAGGCGGGAAGCAGTTAATTAAATGAATCATTTTCTTCCTCTCTCCTCTGACCGGACAGGTCACAATGTCCAATTGAAACACAACTGTTTGTTGTGAGAAGCATTCTCTGTTCGCCAAAACAGACCTTTCACTTCTCTGCTTTCTCACGAAGATAAGCCACCTGTGGATTCCACTCTGTTTCTCCATCCCCCCTCCCCGCTCTGTAGGCAAGCTAAAGGCACGCAGCAGTCTTAAAGGCAGCCGGGTTCTTAGCTTGACAGCATCTCTTTTTCAGCCTCTTTTTTGTCTCTTGCTGGGAGAACAGGAAAATTTCTATAGAAGTGTCCCCTCAAAATATGAGCATCTATTACAATGACTTTTGTCCACCATGGTATTCTGAAACACTTGGGCTAGTACACTTTCTTCCTACATGTAACTCACCTGGTGATATTTTTTTAGAATGTTGTGTATCTCTGCAACATCTTCACTTGACACTGCCTTGATGACAAACCGCCGGTCATAGGAGGTAAGGAAGCGAACCCCACACCGACCATGGCTATCACTGTATACTGGAGCACTCCGTGTCACAGAATTCTATGTGGACGTAAGAGAAGAACAAAATCCATTCTGACATTTAGGTACCCCCAATGCATCTTCAAACTAGGCCTGCAATTCAGGTTAATTTTAGTTGAAGCAAGAATGAGAAGAGTACTTTGCACAGTGTTTCAGAAATAGTTTATGCCAACTGTGTACCACATGAACAACTTTTGTATCAGGTTTTTGTGTACTTTTTAAAATATCTTTGATAAAATTATTAAACTGGTTTTCAAAACTGGACAGCTACAAAGATCACCACCTTTTTGTTTTTCAATGCATAAATGACAGTAGTACCCAAGTATATACCAGGATTATCTTCATATTAGATGATTTCAAAACCAGAATCTTGCCCCCACATAAACATGTTTACCCACATACTAGAAAAGGAAGGTTTGGTAGTCTATGCCAGGATTGAACTCTGTTTTGTCTGGGAAGAAGTAAAATGTGCTTGGTTTAGACATGGACCCAAGTATTCTGAGCACTTATGTTCTAAGATGGGGCACCATGTGGCAGCAGCTAATAGGAAGGTACTGGGAAATGGTGGTGAAGAGACAAGTAGACCAACTGGGTATGCCACACTTGTATAAAACAATTAGACTACCTGTGCCCAATTGGGTCAACTTTTCAGAGATATTTCTGTATCTAAACAGAGAAACAGAATGACCAAGAGTGGGCAAAAAAGTAGAGGGAGCAGGAGCTACTTCTGGCTTTCTGCCAGCTTCCCTAGAGTTTCCTTGTGGGAATCTGGCAGAGAGCACTGGAAATCCCCTTCCCTTCCCATCCCATCTCAGCAGGCAGGTAAGTGGCTGCTACTGGGTGAGGGAGGGAGCAAGCAAGGGATTGAGAGACTGGCTGGGAAACTGTCACAGAATGTTGAAAATGAATATCACATGTCTGCAGCAGCCACCAGTAGAACTGAATCAGCCACAACGTTCCCAAATTTCATTCCCTCAGGTGTTATGGGTCCCGGATTTTGGACACATTCTGTAAGTTAGCCCATTTGAGCTACTTTGGTTCAAAACCTTTTACCCTATGATGCACCATTTCACCCAGTTAAAGGTCAGGACTATTAGAATTTTAGTACTATATAGATGACAACTAAGAGGAGGTATAGGAAAGAAAGGTGCCGGGAGGATTGGTGGGTAGGTTAGCATATAGACAATGTGGAGAAGAAGAGCAAAGAGGGGTGAGTCTCCTGGCCTCTCTCTACTCACACTGCAGGGCAGAGTTTGTTTTGGATGAAACCCGAAACAAGATGTTCCAGATTTCAGTTTGGCTGAACTGAACCCCACTCAAAATGGTTCTGCTAAATCTCTGAGCCACAGTGTTTGCTCTGTGCATAGAACAAAACACATTCTTTACATACAGTCATGTGAAAAAGTACACCCTCTTTGAGTTCTTTCTTTACAAAGAGAAAGCCAAAATGGAGAAGCCATGTGTGAAAAACTAAGTACACCTTATGATTCAATAGATTGTAGAACCACCTTTAGAAGCAATAACTTGAAGTAACCATTTTCTGTATAATTTTATCAGTCTTTCACATTGTTGTGAAGGAATTTCCACCCACTCTTCTTTAAAATATTGCTTCAGTTAATTGAGGGTTGTGGGCATTTGTTTATGCACAGCTCTCTTGAGGTCCCACCACAGCATTTCAACCAGGTTGAAGTCTGGACTTTGATCGGGCAATTGCAACACCTTGATTCTTTTCTTTTCCAGCCATTCTGTTGTAGATTTGCTGGTGTGCTTGGGATCATTGTCCTGTTGCATGATGTAGAGATAAGGGCCAGGTAGAGGTCGTGAGCAGCAAACTGCCCTTCCAAAGCCTACGTGCCTCTTCTCTCTACATGATCTCATCCATTCACATTGCCATGGCAATGTGGGAAACTACCCCAGGCTGATACAATGACCTCACCTACCTGATATCAGCTAGGTTACATCAACAGGATGTGGTAGAAACTGCTCCCTGGCTGGGGCCTCCTAGCCGGTATATTCTTAAGGATTGGCAAGGGGTTTCACCAATAGAAATGATGTTACTATGCTGATGCCATGTTACTTTATGCTATTGGAATACCTGTATATAAGGCAATAAACACTGCGAAGGCGGTCAGCCATATTTGCACCCTGAAATGACTGAGCACTGATTCCTTCAGCATGACCCAATGTCAGCCAAGCTTTAGCTGTTGGACAGATGGTCTCACATTTGACTGTAGAATACTTTGCTATATAGAGGAGTTCATGGTCGACTCAATGACTGCAAAGTGCCTGGGCCCTGTGCCTGCAAAACAAGCCCAAATCATTGCCCCTCCACCACCATGCTTGATGGTTGGTATAAGATGTTTGTGCTGATATGCTGTGTTTGGTTTTCACCAAACAAGGCACTATGCATTATGGCCAAACATCTCCACTTTGGTCTTGTCTGTCCAAAGGACAGTGTTGCAGAAGTCTTGTGATTTGTTCAGATGCAACTTTGTAAACCAAAGCCATGCTGTCATGTTCTTTTTAGAGATAAGAGGCTTTCTCCTGGCTACCTTTCCAAACAAACCATACTTGTTCAGTCTTTTTCTAATTGCACTGTCATGAACTTCAACATTTAACGTGCTGAGGCCTGTAGAGTCTGAGATGCAATTCTTGGATTTTTTGCAATTTCTTGCAATTTTTTGCAAGAAGGATTTGGACAAAAATCCGGCAATATAATTTCCTGGGCCCGGTGAAATAGTGAATTCACCTTTGGAATGAATAAAGGATCTAGTCTCAAAACCACTCTGTCTTGGTGGAAGGTACATAGGTCCTCCCTAACAGAGAGCGCGGCCAGTTCCGAAACACGCCTTGCCGACGTGACTGCCACCAGAAAGGCCACTTTGTAGGATAAAAGAT